AAGAGTCATCTTACAATGTGTTTATTTGTAAGCTGATGTTTTGGATAGATTTCTCCTCACGTGTAAATGACTCGAAGCGCCAAATTAATGGCATCTGGCAGCACACTCCATGTTATGTTTGATAATCTTGTGTTCATCACACAACATCTTGTGTTCATGATGTTATCCTCATAATGCACCCAGAGTCTGCCAGTGCAGACTGCTTATAACATGCCTCTGTATGACTAACCATCCTGTGTGATGGGGATTTGTTAGCATCACGTAGCTAGCTTTTTGACACGCTGTACTCCCCTTTATATAGTCTAGGGTAGCTGCACAAATGTAGATGTACCTAAATGTGTTAATAAAACAAAAAATTTATAACATAGAAATCTTTGAATTCGAACTGAACATTTTTAAACATGATGTCGATAATGGCACTTTAAAATATTTTCCAAGCCTAAGATAAAAGACACATCTTGAAATTCGTGAGAAAACAGGCATTTAGAACATTCAAATGCAATTTTTTAGGATCATTGATTCAACTGCTGATCAATTGTCTTGAAGATTTATTGAATTCAGGTCATTGGAAGACACCACAACATTGGTAAAGTGTGCAGATAATGCAATATTAGACAAACTGAATTTGGAAATGCTGCAGTGATGTGATGTGAATAATGTTGAGGTGCAATTAATTTACAAATCAGCTAAATATGGAGACAAACACTTGTCAACTGAAGATCTGGAAGATATTGAAAGACATTGGAAGTGACTGTGTTAACGAAAACGAATTATAAACAATTTAGGGTTTGAAAAAAATATATATATTATTAATGTTACTAATTGAGTAATTTTATTTTTTGGGAATAACTAATTATTAATAACACAAAGTAATTCCTCAATCTACACCATTTAAAACAATTCAAAAGAGTTATTGGATATCTAAGCAGACTTCTTGAAGAACACTTTCACACATTTAATTCTCTTTCTCCTTTTTATAGTGAAATGCAAATAAAGTAAGAACAATAATCTCCCGCTCAAAATTCGCATGGGCACACGAAATTACTTTTAGGAGAGGATTGTCAACCTGGCCGCTCTCTCTCACGGCCCAGGTCAACAGCTGACCTGCAGGATGCCACCCACAACAGTCGCAAACCTCCCAGGTACCTATTTATACATTATTACCGCGTCAGGTGTACAAAAAGGTGGCCCCAGTGTCTCCTCCTCTTACCCGGGGCGAGGCTACGGGTGAGGAGAGAGTTAGAAATAGCCTAAGCTACTCTATCCCTTTGAGATGTATTTCATTCTTGTCTCATTTAACACACTTGAACTTGAGGCTAGGGATGTGTTGCAGCACATACTGTGTAGTGGGTTGTTTGGTGGTGTTGTGTTGTGGTGCAGCAGGTGTTGTGGTGGGGAGTACGTGAGTATTAGTGAGAGGGTTAAGGGGGGGGGGGTTAGACTGGTTGGTGATTGTTTCGTGTTGGAGAAAGATGGGGGGAGGTCTTACCATTTAAAGGAAGAGGTGGTGGGGGGTTGAAAGGGAGGGAGAGAAGGTCTTTGGGTCAGGTGAGTTCGTCTAAAGTGGTTGGGTACGAGTGGTAAGGCAGCATCGTTTCAAATTATATGCTTTGCCTGGCCGTGAGAACTGGCTGCTAGCGGGGTCCTTGTTAAGTTGTTCCTCCACTCCAAGTCTACAACAACTTTCTTATTTTCAGTTACTTATTGGTTTATTTATCAATCGTACAGCTTCAGTATTTTCTCATAGATATATTGCGTGCTTGTAATTTCAGTGTTTCGCCTTTATTTTGTTTAATTCGTACCCAGGGTTTGAACCCGTACCCAGTACTCCTATTAGGTTTGAACACTCTTTATGAACGATAACTTTGGCTGCATCTTCCTGTAATAGTCTGTCTTGTAGATGCTAGTATAATAACTTGTCTATTTGATGGACAATAGACAAGTTATTAATTAAAGTTGAAGGCGCGACATGAAACAGGTGATGCTGTATCTGTCAGTGTTGCCGCGGGCTGGGTGTGAGACAGTCGGTCGAGAAGGTAAGTCATTGATGGGTTTCGGCTGGTGATCCAACTCACTATTTGCTCCAGCAATCTACACTATCAAGGGAAGACAACTACGGGAACAGGACAACGACTCGGAAGTGGATGTAATTCCAATACAAACACCGGAAGAGGCACACACATCAACACGATAACATCAGCGTCATGTGGGAATTTGGCAAATATATTAAACGCATTTAATAAACATAAACAAAGACTATCTAGACCATATACATAACCTTGGTGAGATCTTTCCTACAGTGTGCAGCACCGGCATGGAACCTGCACCACTTGAAGCACAAAAATAAACTTGAAAAGTACAGACGTTTAGAACAAAACTTGTACCGGAGTTAAGAACATTAAACTACGAGGACAGATTAAAGAGAACCCTGTTTCATAAATCTAGAGAAGGGACAGAGGGGGGACATAAACCCTACATACAAAATACTGTGAACCGCCAACGTGCCCAAGACCAACCTCTTTAAATTAATAGAAAGTTGGACAAGAAGGCATAGTTTCCCTTTTTAGACGGAAGCTGGACACCGTCAATTTTCCGTACGCAGCTGGTGATATTGTTTGATATGGTCTTCTAGGGATAGGTTGGTGGTAATATCAACTCCCAAGTCTTTCTCTGGCCGATTCCAATAGGATTTCTTCACTCATGCGATACCTTATGTCCAGTCCCCTGGTCCCCATACCCAGCTTCATTAATTTGCACTTGCTAGAGCTGAACTCTAGTAGCCACTTGAGGGACCACAATTGAAATTTGTCCAAGTCCTCTTGTAGTTTCTTGCATTCTTCCATCGTATTTATCCGCCTCATAATTGTTGCATCGTCTGCAAATATTGTGAGGGAGGAGTCTGTACCCTCTGGTATGTCGTTCACACAGATTAGAAATAGGATTGACCCTAAAACTGACCCTTGGATTGCCACTGGTAACATCTCACCACTTTGAGATCTCTTCTCATTGTGACTCTTTGTTTTCTATTGCAGAGGTACTCCTTTATCCACTGGAGAACCTTCCATATTACCCCTGCCTGTTTCTCTATTTTATGCACTAGTCTCCTGTAGGATACAGTGTCGAAGGCTTTCTTATAGTCTAAATATGTATAATCTGCCCACCCATCTCTGGCTTGTCTGATCTCAGTCGCCCGTTCATAGAACTCTAGTATGTGAGGCAGAATGTACCATGGTGGTGTTGTTATAAAGTCCCTTCTCTCTAGAGGTTCCACTAGCCTCTTTCATGTGATCTTTTTCGTCATCTTGCATGATATGCAAGTAAGGGACACACGCCGATAGTTTAATGCCTTTTGTCCGTTTCCTTAATGTATTTTTGACAATACATTGGCTGTCTTCCAACCCTCTGGCAGTTTACAGTGACACTGTAAACAGACACCACAAGGTTTCCATTCATTCTTTTAGTACCCATGGTGATATCTATTCCCACAACCTTATTTGGGTATGACTATCAGGTGCTATTTACTTCGTCTCTACTTATCTCAAAGTCCTCTTTTTTTTTGGGGGGGGGGCCTCCACCTCCATTAGCTCAGGAACTTCTCTTGCTCTATTGTGACGACCTCCTGGAACCTTATTTTTATATCTTTTCACACTTCTCTGTCGTTCTCCGTGAATGAGTCCTGTCCTCAGTTGCATTAATTGCTCATTAGCTGCTGTGTCTTTTCTGATGTCGTAGCACTGTTGTTAGCTGCAGCAGCAGCAGCAGGGACTAGTCACAGCCCTCATTCATTCTTCATTTTTTTAGAGTTTCCATATCATTACCTCCGCTCCACAATGTTATTTATTTTTACCAGCTGGCAATACAAGTCCGAGGGAGTGGGAGGTGAGGAGAGAGCCTTCTGGTGCTCTCGCATGCTCTACACTTTCCATATAGAACTTGAGGCACCTATAGGTCTTTACCTCTTTGTAACAGGTAACAAAGTCATGAGCAAATAGATTTGCTGCTAATCGTGACTCTTATATGAGGCTGACTTTATCAAGGGCCTCCAAAGTTTGCTGGTTGGAACAGAGTTTATCAGCATTTATCTCTAAAGTATCTCTTTAAAAGTAAAGTAAAGATTTATCTCTACCATTCGACTTGAGAATGGTCCAGGACGGACCGAAACGTCGTCGTCCCTTCACATTCTAGTGTGTGGTCTGGTCATTATCTCTAAAGTTATTGAAAATCCACTAATGATTTAATTGATAACTGCCCATATTATCGAAGACCCACACAGAAATCACAATAGCGTGATGCATCAAATGAACAAATCCACAAGGGCTGTGACGAGGGTTCGAATTTACGTCCGAGAGGATCCCAGACGCTGCCTTAATCGACTGAGCAACGACATGGTAAAAGAAATCATCCTGATGATTTCCCGGTTGCAATTCTTTTTACCATGTCGTAGCTCAATCGATTAAGGCAGCGTCTGGGATCCTCTGGGACGTAGGTTCGAACCCTCGTCTCGGCCCTTGTGGATTTGTTCATCGAAGACCCCTTGTGTCATAGAGCGCTGGTCTTTACATTTTAATGAGCGGTGCCTTGAGTCTCGAGGACAACCACCCATATTATCGAGGAATGCCTGAGCTCTTGGAGAGCTTGCGCGGATTATTTTATCGTAGTTTGCCCTCATATTCCCGAAGATATCTCATCCTTTCGATGTATGTCCTTAATCCTATCGAGGACTACCAATGATCCTATCAAGGATATCCTCTCAAGGATGTCCTCTCATCTTGTCAAGGATGTCCTTTCATCCTATCGAGAACTGCCCCAAATGCTGTCTAGAAGTCCCATTCGTCCCATTGCGAGATGACCCCAGAGAGCGTCTTATCAGATCACTGACTGTGATCCAGAACTGCAAGTTCTGGAACGTTGACAAAATGCTTAAGAGACACCGGCTGAACAACTCTTCGATCTATGGACGTACTCTCGTAAGACGTCCAGTGAGCAGAGTGAACACTTACGCTACAGCCCTCGTCTCCAGGTGGAGGAAGTCCGTGGTGTTTATCCCTTCACTGGAGTGTGAAGCAGCGAGAGCAAGGCAGCCAGCAGCACGGAGCGGCGACACCCTTCCTCCACATCGTCTGCGGCGACACTGACCTTTCCCGCCACTTCTTACCCTGTCATATACCTTCCCTCTGACCCACTACTACCGTAGAAGGCAGTAATTAACGTCTTGCCGTGGTGCTCATTCGTACACGCGCACACTACACGTACACATATACACATACACACAAATACATGCTCATACACATGCACATATACACACATGCACTAGGAAGTGATGTGGTGGAGGCTGACTCCATACACAGTTTCAAATGTAAATATCACAGAGCCCAGTAGGCTCAGGAATCTGTACATCAGTTGATTGACGGTTGAGAGGCAGGACCAAAGAGCCAGAGCTCAACCCCCGCAAACACAACTAGGTGAGTACAACTAGGTGAGGTGAGTATATATATCTTCAAGCCCACATCACAAGGATATCATTTATTTTTATTTTATTTTAGTTCTGTATCAGATGGGATAACCGGCTGTACCCGGGTCTCTCTCTCCCTCCCTCCCCTCTCTGCCCAACCATTTGGGCCGTAAGTTAGAACGACGGTCTTGCTTTATGTAGGTCAGAGTTCAATCCCCGACCGTCCAAGTGGTTGGGCATCATTCCTTCCTCCCCCCCACCCCCCCCCGGCTGTTCCCAGATCCTTATCCTGATCCCTTCCAAGTGCTATACAGCACTTGGAAGAGATCAGGTTGGATTGACGTTTTCTCCTGATAGTTGCCTTCCCTTTTCCTATCTCTCTCTCTCCCACTCACTCTCTCTCTCTCTCTCTCTCTCTCTCTCTCTCTCTCTCTCTCTCTCTCTCTCTCTCTCTCTCTCTCTCTCTCTCTCTCTCTCTCTCTCTCTCTCTCTCTCTCCCCTCTACATCTAGTTAAAGACAAGACAAACTTATATAAAACCCAGAGGTGTTGTAGTCCCAGAACAGAGAGGCGTGAGATACAAGGAGCGGCTACAGGAATTATACCTCACGCCCCTGGATCTGTACACCAGTAGATTGACGGTTGAGAGGCGGGACCAAAGAGCCAAAGCTCAACCCCCTGCAAGCACAACTAGGTGAGTACTGGAAGACAGAAGAGTTAGTGGGAGACGTCATTACCAGACCGTTCTCGACTCACAATCTGAGACTCCGAGTTCGGTTTCCGGGCAGGACAGAGCTGGTTGGGCACGTTTCATTTCACCTAATATCTCTGTTCACCTAGGAGTAAATAGGTACCTGGGATTTAGAGTCAGCGTGCTGGGGTTGCATCCTGGGGAGGGTCAACCTTGTGAGGTCCTCGATATAAGCCTATCGGTACATATGTATATACGTAGGCTGCCTGTCCCCGACAGTGATTTTTTTAATGCATTCATAATTTAATCATTATATATTTAATCCTCTCGGGAGAATTGTTAAGGTGGATAAAGACAGATTATTGAGAACGGCTGGAACCCCCCTCCCCCCCCCCCCAGTCCTCCTGTTTAGACAGAACTTACAGTAACCGCGTGGACCGTCCTACATATAGTGACGTATTGGACAATTAGAAAGTAGAATTTGGTACTATTGAATTTGTACAAACCGGAAAATTTTTTTGTATATATGTTTGCTAATAAACCCTAAGCTAACCTTCCTAGGCCTAATACACGCTATCTGAGGCCTAATATAGTACATATATGTGCTATACTAGGGACTAGGAATATTTAAGTTTGTTTTTTAGCTTTATTTTTTTCGGACTAAAGTGAATAGTACCAAATTCTACTGTCTAATTGTCCATTACGTTAATATATGTTTGTGATGGTGCACACAGGTACAAAAAGTGCTCTCTAAACAGGAGGATGGGATGCGGCGCCGCAGCTTCAAGCACCTGTCGTCCCAATTGAGCCCGACAGATCATCATAAGAAATAAAAATGTAAAATAAAGTATGTCAGACGCCTTTTAGGAAGGTTCAGTTAGCCCTAAACTATTACCGTTTTCTCTTATCATCTCTGGTCAATGGCAGGAGAGTTCGAAGCCACACTAAAATAATCTAAAGAAGAATATTATTTCTTATTGTCGGGGACAGGAAGCCTGTGTACATTTAACACTTTATGCTTGTATCCAGGTTACCCCGAAGTCGAACTACTGACCTTCTCCAGGAAGGAACCCAACAACTCCCAGGTCTCTGTTTACTGGCAAATGAAGAGGCATAATTCACTGTCTCGGGGGACAAGAAGCCAGGTTATATATGCAGTACATGTTAGGCTTATGCCGAGGTCCCCCCACAACACCCCTCAACAAGCTGATTAACGTCTGGTAGGTGGACAGGAGCATGAGGTGAAAGGAAACGCGCCCAATCATTTCTGTGCCTCCTGGGATTCGAACCCCTCTGGGTTGTTCACGTGTATCCAGACACAGCTGGGGCTTAATTAAACTGTTACGAGTGAGCAGTTCATCAAGAATGTTTAGTGCCGAAAGAATCTTTCTGATCATGTTAAAGAAATTTTGGGCGTGTGTTGCTCCTGCTCCGATCAGTATTCCTTCTTCCCTTGACATGTGGTGCCCTGGGACTCCCAGCACCCCGTCACACACCATCTGGGACTCCCAGCACCGTCACACACCATCTGGGACTCTCAGCACTCGGTCACACAATATCTGGGACTCCCAGCACCGTCACACACCATCTGGGACTCCCAGCACCCCGTCACACACCATCTGAGGCTCCCAGCACTCCGTCACACACCATCTGGGACTCCCAGCACCCCGTCACACACCATCTGGGACTCCCAGCACCCCGTCACACACCATCTGGGGCTCCCAGCACCCCGTCACACACCATCTGGGACTCCCAGCACCCCGTCACACACCATCTGGGGCTCCCAGCACCCCGTCACACACCATCTGGGGCTCCCAGCACCCCGTCACACACCATCTGGGACTCCCAGCACCGTCACACACCATCTGGGACTCCCAGCACCCCGTCACACACCATCTGGGACTCCCAGCACCCCGTCACACACCATCTGGGACTCCCAGCACCCCGTCACACACCATCTGGGACTCCCAGCACCCCGTCACACACCATCTGGGACTCCCAGCACCCGCTACACACCATCTGGGGCTCCCAGCACCCCGTCACACACCATCTGAGACTCCCAGCACCGTCACACACCATCTGAGACTCCCAGCACCGTCACACACCATCTGAGACTCCCAGCACCGTCACACACCATCTGGGACTCCCAGCACCTCGTCACACACCATCTGGGACTCCCAGCACCGTCACACACCATCTGGGACTCCCAGCACCTCGTCACACACCATCTGGGACTCCCAGCACTCCGTCACACACCATCTGGGACTCCCAGCACCGTCACACACCATCTGGGACTCCCAGCACCCCGTCACACACCAATAATTCACAAAATAATATTATTTTGCCTCTTCTCGTTTTCTTTTAGTGATGGACACTGGCGCTTGTGTGGGTATTGAGTATCGATGGATATTTCACGCGGTTTGACAGTCCATTTTGAGGCCAGGGAAGAGGAAGGGTGTTTTCAACTTGGGGATAAGAGCCCACTGACAGCTACGAAAGGTCCAGAGCGGATTTATGCAAGGTAGATCACAGGTAGACGTGGAGTGGCTTAAAGATATCTACAAGCATGAGTGCGGTAGTTCTTGCAGCGAATCTTATAGATGAAGGAGTAACGTCTGGTCCTTCAAGTGGACAGCGGCGGACGCTGTCGAGCTGTACATTTAATTGAGGGTTAAACAAAATGTATATCTATTATTCAAGTATTAACAAATTAAGACTTCGTATAATTCCTGTTACTTTAAAACAGAACACCTGTTATTTTAAAAGCTGCTTACCCTGCTGGCAGCCGGTCGGCCGAGCGGACAGCACGCTGGACTTGTGATCCTGTGGTCCCGGGTTCGATCCCGGGCGCCGGCGAGAAACAATGGGCAGAGTTTCTTTCACCCTATGCCCCCTGTTACCTAGCAGTAAAATAGGTACCTGGGTGTTAGTCAGCTGTCACGGGCTGCTTCCTGGGGGTGGAGGCCTGGTCGAGAACCGGGCCGCGGGGACACTAAAAAGCCCCGAAATCATCTCAAGATAACTCAAGATAACCCCGGAGTGTCAATAAGCCGTGGTGGCGGGAGAATACACTTGACAACACCAGGATAAACATGGACTCTCCTGGAACACTCTTACTCTTTTAATACATTTACTCAAGTTTCTCCAGGTAGAGCACTCAAGGCCACGGGACTGAGACCTTGAGGAAGGTGATTATAGAGGGCTTCGTGACCCCCGGCTGTGTACTGGGTGCAGAGTGAGGGCCGCCGCCTCCCCGCTCCCAGGGCGTGTGTGGGCGTCCCTACTCTTGTGGTGTGTGTGGGGGGGGGCGAGGAGAGGGGTATGGAAGGGACAAGGGCTTGAGGGGCTAAAGAGGGAGATGGAAGGGATAGAAGGAGAGAAGGGGAAAGTGAGAGAAAAAAGAAAGAAGGGAAAGAGAGAGAGACAGACTTAATTTACAAAATCATAGTAGCCTGGTAGGGTGGATTAAACACATGTGTGTACTGTTAACACAACACCAGGTAGGCCAACAGTCCCCTTGTTAGGGTGTAAAGACTCTGGCACATAAAACACTTCCCCTCAGTTTGAGAAGCAAGACTTTTGCTTGAGGCCAACGTCATGTTAACTAAGTTATACTTTCCTGAGTGAGGCGAGTGTCTCCACAAAACCCAACTCTAAGCAAACATGTGAGTGAGTGTGCAAACATCCCTCACTGTGAGGGGGATGAGCTTCAGCTCTTGGACCCCAGCTCTCAATCTTCAAGCAACAGGTGTACAGTTTCCCTCTGAGATCTGTCGCACCTAATTTCTAAGCTGTGAATGAACTTCCGTCCCTCACATTCTAAGTCATCTCACCTCGCAGACGCTACTCTGTCAATCTCGTTAAGTATTTTGTATGTGGTGGTCATGTCTTCCATATGACTTCTCTCTTCCAGTGACATGATGTTTAGTATATTATTTCCTCGCAACTCATACCTCTCAGCTCCCGAA